TTTTTTTTTTTTAAATTTAATTTTCTGGCAAAATGTTTGTCCAATTTTCATGCCTAATTCCACTTCAGGACAATGTGCAAGAAGATGCTATGTTTTGAAGTCTAATTCCAAGTAGAACGGTACGTACTCCTGAAATTTTGAAGTTATAACATATATACTTGTTTAGAATCACAGTAAGAAAACGCATTTTTCTTTCTATAAATCTTTTGAATAATACATTTCGTTCTGCTTTAAATTGAAAAGTTGGAATTAGATTTCTAGAGATGGCACTCGCTTGCAACTTTGCAAGTTGATTGTTCTATAGTGGAATAAAAAGTTGGCTTGGACTTTAAGCTCAGTTTATTTGCAGTGTGAATTTCATTTGCACTGGTGTAAATGCATGGGAGTGCAAATAGGCTGAGAATAAATTCTGGTTCACTTTTGTTTCATATTTGATTTGTTTGAGGAGAAAAATGAAGTCCCCATTTTATATGAAAGAGAATGGAGATAGAAGAAGGGTCATTTGTTTTGGAGTGTGATAGGAAGAAAAATAATGTGGTTCCTACTTTACATGAGAAGAATCGAGGTAGAAGGAAAGTGGTGCAAATTTTGCATCAATTTTTGGGACGCAAAATTTGCACTGCTAGTGATTGCAAATAAAACAAGAAGTGAAAGTTTTATATCAGATAGGAGTACAAATCATAATTACAAATAAACATATGCAAAACTGAACTGGATGCAAAATTTGCACCCCCTCAAAGAACTGGATACAAAATCTGTATCCAGTTCAGATATTTGTAACTACAAAAAGAGCCTTGGTATGTTTTATTGCTGTCTTCATCCATCGGGAATTTGAATTGTAATACTAGTTGATTTAAGATCTTTACTGATGATATGGATTTTGCACATGTCAATGTTAATTCAACTTTTCAACCATGCCAAGTTACAGGATTCGCAAGGCAACTCAATTAACACCTAATTTCAAATTATTGGTATTGTTTGAAAGCTGCAAATTCTGCTTGGAACTACATGTATGTTGCTTGACATAGAGCAATTCAACTAATTGGCAGTAGTGAATGTGGTAATGACACCAAATAAATAAATTTGACTTTCAAGAAAAAGGAAATCGGTGGTCTTAGGTGTCCAATTTGGGGAGTCTGGTTACTTTGATAGAGTTGGGATCTCCTTCCAACATGACCTGTGTCCGCACATCTCACCATAAGACTGGAACCCACCATGTATGAGATGTGCAGATTCCAGATCTCCTGCCCACGTCTACCCACAACACACTACCCCCGTGAATTGAGAACGTCACCCCCTGCATAATACTATATAGGAGGATGAGATGTTCTCTATGTGTGGTTGCAATGTTATGTGGGTAGACGTGGGCAGAGTTTGTGTGGGCAGGAGATTCGGACTCAGATGTGCAGGCACATCATATTGGAAGGTTTTTTATTGGCAGGAAATTGGGACTCATTTTTGTAGGTGGTCCTACCAACGGATCAGTGCCGATTGCAGTGTTAGCTTAATTAGGATTAAGGGTGCAAGATGGTGGTTCAGGCTCTGAGCCTGTATCGACCCAATTAGAGCTTTTTAATGGGTTGGGCTTAATTTATGAAAGTTAATCTGGGCCTTGCCATGAAAATCAAGCTTACCTTGAATGGGCTTGGGTGGGACCGTGAGAGGCCTTGGGTGGTATGGACTCAGCTCAACCCAATCTGGCCCCATACAAACGTCTATAACAAGCAAGCAAAAAGGACAGAGCATTGCGGGTTGTATTATATTATGATAGCGCAAATCTACAAATATCTATGATGTAGGAAAGGTATGATAACAGAGGAACTATGACCAATCACACCCTTCCCCATGAGTTCTGCCTAACTGATTGGTTACCACTTTATGTTATCAAATTTTCAGGTATGATACCCAAAAACCCGATACCTACTGGCCGTGGACTTCTCCTAGGGTGATCATAGGCCACTGGGCCAGACTGAGCCTGATTTCAGGCTTGTCCTTTAAATATACAATATTAAATAATATTTTATATTTAAATGGCATATAATATGTATATAAATATATTTTATACATTATAGAATATAAAATATTATATATAATATACTAGTCCGGCCCTTGTGATGCATGGGTTTTGTTAAGTAAAACTAAAATAGAAGGAACCCTCCAATGTTCCTTAGTTTTTAATGCTAAGGAGAATATTAACCTATCTTTAAGAAGATTCCCTGAATGATAATTTATGACTTTCTTGATAAAAATTAAAATTAATTACATCTAAATATTAGGCATGAATAACCATATGATAGTAACTGAATCTCCTATAAATATTTACATAATTAATAATTAAATAATCTAATTTACAGTAATTATTAATAGTTACTTCTATTATAACTAAACTTAAGGTGAAGTTAGTGTAAATACCAAAGCTTAAGCTTACTTAACTTTAATGTAATAATTTTTCTATTTTAGTTATTTTAACTTGATCTATTTAGATTAAGTAATTGTAATATTAATTTCCTAAGTTGTAAGTTGATTAAGTACAACATTTTGTTTTTAATAACACACCTTATCATATATTAATTGTAGACTTGTTTGGGGCTGGGGTTGGGTCAGGTTTTATCACTTATCAAGAGAAAATATCTAGGCTTGAGCTTGAGCTTGGCCCTTATATAAAACCCAAAGCTCGGGGTCCAAGTTCGAAGCCCAGTCTGAATAGGAAGTAAAAATAAATTTGTGACCCATGCACAATTTATTATATATTGCCAATTATCAACCAAAAAAAGAAACTATCTAACATATGCAAGTATAAGCAATAAGAAGAACAAAGAACATAGGAGATTTACAGAGGTTCCATTTTACAACTTCAGTGGGACTTGTGGGTGTCAACAAGACCTTTTTCCAAATAATAACTTGTAGATTCTATCAAAACCTTCTCCCGTGTTCAATCCCTGAACACTACAACACAACAAAACCAGAATTCTTCTAGTCACCTGAAAGTTACCATTCTCTTGCAAATATAGTACTAATACAAGATAAAACAATCAAGCTTTTGCCTCTACAAGGCTGATATATCAATAATAAGTAAACTATTCGGTATGCAACAAAGCTTAGTGTAAAATAGGGCTCAAGAGATCATTGGAACTCAAGGTATATGCAATTTCTCTCTTTAAAGGCTTTCATACACTAGGATTTTTCTTCTCTCTCTCTCTCTCTCTTCAGCTCATGGGAACATTTATTGATTTTTCTTTTGTTTCCTTGCTTTTTCCCTTGTTTTTTTTTTTCTTGTGATCTCTCCATCTTTTTATGAATTTGCTATCATCAAAACATATAAATTCAAACCACATTAGTACTTTATGAATTTGTTATCATCAAAACACATAGAGTCAACAATCTCCCTCTTTATGACAATGGAAAACCAATGATGGACAAATATATAAACAAATTTCAAGATTAATACTCCTGAATTTATGCTTCCTCTCATAATAAATTTGATTTTAACATTCTAAGTAGATGTTCAAATATTGTTTAGAAACCCACTTTAAGTACTTCATTTTGCATAGCATGTGTTTCATGAGAAAATCACTTTTCAAATTAAACACAAGTATTCTAAAGTATTCTCCACTGATACAAAATGCTAATAAATATAGATCAAACCAAACAAAATGAAATATTACAAATATTAAGCTCAAAAACTCCCATTGAATAGGAGACTTATATTCATCATATGCTCTGAACAAGTTCTCCTTTGAATGGAAGACTTTTTACATTTCAGCTCATATCATATTGTTTTTCCCTTAATGTTATACCACTTCGCTTATTAATAAAATATTAGCATTTTATAACATTATCTTTCTCCCCCTTTTGTCATCATGAAAAAGGTTGGTAGGTGAAATAATTAACTTTGGCTTTTCTTTATAATCTTTGTCCCCCTTTTAGCATCAGTAAAAGCAAGGGGTTGAGTAGAACTATTCTCCCTCTTGGAGGAATTAATTCCAATGTGAAAGGGATAACTCCTCCTTTCACATGTAGTAGATGTATATATAGATCTAGAAAAGCATGCATCTGATCAGCAAATAACCATAGTAATGATTAACCATAGAGGTTAAAACGATAGTTATAGCAGTTAGGTTCAAGTATTAAACCATAAGATTTAGATATCCAAACTATGAAGTTTAGAAACATGCGAACCAAGAGTTCTAAAATAGAATAATAATTTAAATTTATACACTTAAACTATACAAGAGTGTGGACTTGATAACAAATTCATTAAGAGTACTAATAGTGTAATTAAGTGTGCAACAAATTTTTAGTTAGCTTTTTTGGGCCAAAAGAGTAGTAAAATTAGAATGCTATCAAAGATGAAGTGGAAGCTTTGTTGAGATAGTTGCCTTTGTTTTAAAGAGTTCAACACCATCATCATCATCATCTCTCCAAGTTGAGGAAGCTCCAAGCAATTCAAGAATCAAGACTATTGAAAGACACAATGGTTTTGGAGCTACTCAAAGAATATCTACTACAAGTCTACAACATCTCATCAAGGAGA